TCATATTCCTTTTAAAGTTCAGCACCAGCCAGGAAGTGCACAAGCATATCTGATTTCTGGTTCATGTTATTATTATTTCTTGGACTTCAAATGGACCTACGTGTTTTGAATAATGAAATTTTCCAAGTAAAAAGTGAAGAGTTGATGCCCACTGTTTCCTCACCAATATGACATAAACAACATTTTCCCTTTTTGTTTTTTTTTCATTCTTTTTTTCATTTACAGTCTGTGATATAAAAGTCAGAAAGCCAATTTATTCGAGTTGTGGGTTTTTTGTTTTTTAATAAACATTTTCCCTTTTTGTTTTTTTTTTTCATTCTTTTTTCATTTACAGTCTGTGATATAAGAGAAAAGTCAGAAAGCCAATTTATTCGAGTTGTGGGTTTTTTGTTTTTTAATGTTTGGAAGAAGAAGCAGGTCTTTATCAGGGTTTTCCCAGGTCCTCTGCCTGTAGAAACTCCCACTATAACATTTCATTATAGACAATGTCAGAAAATATACCTGTATTTTTATTTTCATGGTATTTGATTTTTATAGAAAGTACTTTCTGAATAAATGTGTGTTTCACAAGGCACAGACATATCAGATTGTTGTCTTATATTTGATACACTTTTATTGAGAAATAATGCATATTATAATTTATATAAACTATCTTAAAATTCATAATGCAATTAATTATGTGCCTGTAAATTGCCTCTTCTTTGTCTGTTTTAAAAGCAATTTGGAGCTTTTCTATTCATATTTTTAGATGAAAGAAAGCGGGTCTTTTAACTCTCAACTTGGAGAAGCCTCCAAATGGCAATATCTGCATCATAAATCTACCCAAGCTGTCTTTAGTTTTCATAAAGTTGTACTTATTTGAGGCAGTAATTACAGATTTGGTTCATTTTACTATGTGTTGTTTTTTAAACATGCTCATGATTCATGTCCATTTGTTTCTATTATCTGACTTAGTCCCAGATTCATAACTCTCTGCGATCCTGCTCTCCACAGCTTCTCCATTCTTCCTTTCTTAGTTAGGACAGGCAGCATATTTTACCAATAGAAACATCAAAGACAGTGCTTACAAAGGACTGATTTCTTGTCCCCCCAAAACAGGGAAAATGTTCAGCAGAATCCCAAGAATGGGGATGGGGCAAATGACACCGGTTTCCCATAGCCAGGCAGAATGCATTTCCAGGCCCTAGAAAAAGGCAATTTCTCAAGAGAAGTTGAAAGTAGTAACATCCGAGGCAGGGGAGATACTCAGTGATGAAAGTGCTGGTGTGTAAGTATGGGTAACAGAGTTTGAGTCCCCAGTACCTACATAAATGCAAGGGATGTGTAATGACAGCTCTGGGTTCAAGTGAAATATTCTGCCTTAATACAAAGGCTAGGAAAAAACTGAGGAAGATACCTGCTATTAGCCTCAGGCTTACACACACACATAGAGCACACACTCACAAACACTGCACACACAACGTACATATGCATATGCACTCTCACAGTAATGTGAATCCATGTACATGAAAACACACAGACATTGCCTGTAGATATAAATCAAGAAGAAAGTAATAATATTTGAACTGAGTCTTAACATGTAGGGTGTGCAGGAGTGCTGGAAGACCCCATGGACCCCATATGTCTAAACAGAGGGAAGTAAATGAAGAATAACTGATTGTTCAAGAACACTATGGTTAGCTGCTCAGTGAAACCTGTAGAACATGAATGTTACTATGTCATTCAAAACACCATTTCTGGAGTGATTCATGTATACCATGAAAAATACACTTTTCTTTGAGTGAATTTTGCATATAGATTGCTTTAATATTTCTCATTTCTATTAAAGCCTTTGATATGCTGATGTTACACAGATATTGGGGAAGAGTAAAATTTGAAGCAAAATATAACAGGATGACAGTAGTAGTGAGTTTAAGGGAAACCACTGCTCTTGTGAAGCTGTAGCCCCCGCAGGAATTTGTTTTCCTCCTATGTTTTCCCTATTTCTGTCTCTGTTTCCTCTCTGAATCCCTGCCCAACTATCTCATTGTAATAATTGATTTGTTAGGTATAAAATATTTTACTGAATGTATGTTATGTATAAGACTATCTCCTGGATACTGATAATACAGCGGTGAAGTGCATGTATTCAGTCAGGAAGCTCTTACTTCTATTTTGACATGTAGAATATGATGTTATAAGATACACATGGATAATTAAACAGTTACTGTTGTGAAGCAAACTATGAGCTGTCATCTCGTATAGTGACTGGGGAGGTGGGAGAATAAAATCTGTTTTGATAAAATAGTTTATAGCACACGGCAACATGTTCCACTTAACAATAGCAGTTGTAATTATTCACACTACTTGCTAACATGCTGTTTCTTTTAAATATTGATATTTTTATCTATATTTATAGGAAAAAGACATAATCTTTTAAAAGCCCTTATCATGTTGTGCCATGACTGTTCCATGACTGAACAAATCTATCATGCTGTTTTCAGACTTCCCTAAAACTTCCCTCTGATGAGCAGTCTCATTGAGGTTTGGGGCATTGCACTCCTATAAGCCCAGCACTGGGAAGCCTGAGGTCTAAGGATCATGAGTTCAAGGGCACCTAGGATATGCTGTGAAGCAGGTTGCAGGGCAGCATGGCATAAAGTAGTGAGAATTTTTCATCAAACCAAAGCAAACAAAACATCTTATGGAAAAAAAGGATTGCAAAATGTTACTTAATCTATTTTTGTTGCTTAGAAAAACTTGAAGTACTTCACAAAAAGACCTATTTTTGAGCTGTCAAGATAAAAAACTGTGTCCTGTTTTACTAACTTTAATTAGCAAGTTTAAAGATTTTAAGTCAATGAATAACAAATGTACAAAGACAATTTTTACACTTTTCATAGTATTAAATTTTTATGATAATTTTAGATTGTCAAGCATTTAATTACAATGGCCTAATGTTTTAAGATATTTGAATATTCATCATATTAAATCAAGATACAAATGTTTGTCTTTGGCTCTGTTCTCCTTCACTTCCTACTCTGTTCTTGTCATACTAAAATGTCAAATACTTTGTTTCAAACTTTAGAAATTAATATTCAGATTTGTTACATTTACCCATGTTCGTGGCTTTAGGGAGTTTTACGGAGTGAATAAGCAAAAGCAGTCCCTTACACACTCTTTTAAATTGTTTCATTTCCGGTCAAATCAATGTATTTGCCATCTGGAAACTCAGTGTTTCTCCTTGAGTAAACTTTGATATTAAATATTTGCTCCTTAGGATTATTAAGGGAGTTGAATAGAAATGTAAAATCTGTCAGTGTGGCACATAGTTGATACATGTTAAATACCAAGATCGTTTTTGCTATTCTATCTCGTTGACTCTCAAGAAAGATAAACAAATATTATGGTCCCATTTGTTTTGTGAAAGTACACTGATTAGATTTGCATGATATATTTTTAGTATGCTTCAAAAAAGCAAACTCTTTAAATTATTAATAATATCTCCAAAATAAATTATTTGAGTAAATCATTTAATAATTGCCTCTTTCCTAAATGTGTCCATTTTTCAACATGAATTTTGGTGGGATCAATTCTTATAATGTGTATATTTACTTCAAGAGGATAATTAATGTTCACATTATCTGACTTATGAGATGCTATCATGTATGTTATAAAACTCATTTTTCATAACTTAGAATAAATGGAGAAATTAACATAGGAACATACATGTAAGACATTTGACTGCCCAAATCACTCTGGTATCTCTTTGACTTGAATTAATGTCTCAAAATGTAGTAAAAGCCTACATGTCAGCATTAGTTAAAAATAATTTGAAATAGGAGTAAAGTAAGGCTAGTAATCTCTAATGGGACAATAAACCTTCCATGTTAACCCAAATGCTACAGCCCCTTCAAAAAGATTGAAGCATTAATCAGAAACCTAGAATCAGCTAGGTTCCCATTAATTCCATCTTTAATACTCCATTTAGCTCTTGTTTGTGGACAGACACTTGGTTTGCTTTGTAGACCCATTTAATTTAATTCAAATACAATTGCATTATTAATGCAAAAATTCTCATGGAATAGGGAATAGTGTTACAGATACTGTAAGAAAAACCATGATGTTTCCTCAGTACTCCGTGTGTTCCATTAAAATCTAACATGAGTATGTTCCAGCCCCATAAACTAAGCTCCTACAAAACCATTCAAACGTCATTTACTTGAGGAATTTATAATGCATATATATATACTTTGAATAACTTTCTTAACAAATTTATAGAAATAGTAGAAATGTCTTGCTAAGAGTCTGTGTTGCTTTAAAATATGATAATTTGAAATCTTATGAAATTTAAATTTCTCAGAAATAAAAAATGAGAGAATATAATGAATTGTCTGAGTATGATATTAGTCAGCTGCTCTGTTAAATTCTCACCAAAGAAAATATAGGCCATAAATCTTAGCACCATTTTTTAAACTTCTAATTTTATACCTTGGGTTCTTCTTTTTCCTACCACTTCCACATGTTATGTTGTTTTCACATATGAGTAAAATGAAATGAAATAATTTTAAAACTGCATTTAATTGAAATATTTCTACCTCATTGCTATTAGTCTGATTGGTGGTTTTCTGTATGACTGGTGGTGACTTAGCTGTTAGAGTTGTATTTATATGTGATGGCAGCAGTTGCATCAATTTGTATAAAGCAAAGATTTAGGGCCCAGTTAATGGCTAATTAGACAAGGCATTGAGTAGAGTTTTCTTATGTGGACCACTTGCCTTCAAATGTAATATTTTTCCTATTGTGAGAATGTATGTAGTCTTCATTTGAGAATATACAACAAAAGGTGTAGGGTTAAGTGACAGCACTTTTCTCTTATTTCTGTGGTTCCTAAATTTTATGTCATCTGCCTTGTCAAATTACTTCAACCAGCAGAAGTTGTTTCCTTGTGATGTTCTGTGACTGAATATGTCTTACCAGTTTATACTAACCTTGAAAAATTTTCTTTTTCCCATTTCAAGTTCCACCCAATCTGACTGTTCCACAGGAAAAATCACCTTTGGTCACCAGAGAAGGAGACACAATAGAACTTCAGTGTCAAGTAACTGGGAAACCTAAACCCATCATCCTTTGGTCTAGAGCGGATAAAGAAGTTGCAATGCCTGATGGGACAATGCAAATGGAAAGTTACGATGGAACACTGAGGATTGTGAATGTGTCAAGAGAAATGTCAGGGATGTACCGGTGTCAAACCAGCCAGTACAATGGATTTAATGTGAAGCCAAGAGAAGCCTTGGTCCAGCTCATTGTGCAGTGTGAGTAAATTTGCTTTCCATTGGTTTCTCTGAGGGTTACAAAGGAGGGGATGGCAGCACTTCCATATAAGAAAAAGAGCTGATTCTTGGCGTTGGATCAGTGCAGTATAAAATGTAAAAAATAGCGTAATAGCCTTCCAACTTAAATAAAAATTGCCATTCATCTGGTTATTATTTAGCTATTAGAAAACAGTTGGTATTTAAGGCTAGAGTCAACAACTGTAATGGTTAAAAGCCATCTGAGTACAAAGAGTGAGGTGGAGGTGAAAGTAACTGCTAATTTGGTTACTAAACTCTTTAGTTTCCATATTTCATTTCTTTTTTAAATAATTGGATGCCTGTGGCCCAAATCATCCATCTATTTAAAGAATGCCTTTGCTTAAATGTGAATTTATGATCATTGAAATGCTAGTTTTGCATGTATGAAGTTGTTACAGCAGTTTGCATAATTATCTAGTAATAGAATTTGTGAAGATCTTAGGTGCTGAATTATCTAACCCATAAGTGTTATTTATAATCTAAATAAGATAATTCTTGAACTGCTTCTATTGAAATTATGGCTGTACGTCTCACAAAAACTGTAGGCACTATGGAGTTAAAATTTGCTCTTAAAATAATTAAATAAATTAAGAATTGATACAAAACTGAGCAATATTAATGGTACTAGTTACTTTGAGAAAATGGTAAAAAAAATCAGCACAAGATTGTAAAATTTGATCTTATAATAGCAGATGATGAGAAGTATTGTACAGTTGTTTCTATGGTGATGGGAATGTAATTCAAGAAGATAGGAATAGACATCAGCAAAATTCAGCTCTTTCGTTGTAAGTATAAAGGTGCAAGGTACAATTAAAGAGCAGGGTGCTAGCTGGAAGCACTTCCACTCAGAGCCCTGTGTCTATGCCCTGTCAACTCTGGAAGCCAAAACACCAGCAACCTTTCCAGGTCCAGCCGGGAATTCACTGTGTCTTTCAAGAACTGCTTTACATGCATTTCTACCTTTTTATGAAGAATCTGAATATATGTCTGAGAATTTGCCAATCACAAGAAATTGGTCACTTTCTAAATGCTCGTGAGAGAATCAGTTCATGTTCAGATAACATCATCCCAGTCTTTGGACACATAATCCATGCCTACCTAAGGCTTGCTCCAGTGAAACTAAAAGTGAAGAGACTCAGATGATAATTTTTAAAATAACAAATATTTTATGTTTTTCTTCATTAAAAATACAACGTTTTTCCTAATTTTGATGACTGATACAAGTAACATTATTGATTTGAAGTATAAAATACTATTCTACCATACTAACCACACACGTGCACATGAATTTACATGTGTGGTTCATTGCATCCTTTACAATAATTACATTATTATGTATAGCAAACTGAGTTTTATTTACTTAGAGGTATGTGTGGGTGGTATATGCAGACATATGCAAATGTACACACAAATGGGCAGACACAGGTGTGAGCATGCATGTGGAAAACAGAGATTGACTTTGGGTGTCTTCAGTTACTCTCCACCTTAATTGTTAGACAGATTGTGTCACTGAATATGAAGATCATCAGTTAGCTGCAGTGGCGGACTGGGGATCAGCCTGCTGCTGAAAACCTGGCACTGGGGTCACAGATGCACACCTGACATTTATATGGGTGCTGAAGATCCAACCTCAAATCCTTGCACTTTTGCTGCAGCAAGTACTTGTTACAGGTGCCACCTCCTTAGCACACAAACTCTTTTACACATTGTGTATTCCAAGCATAATGTATTTATATTATAGCTAATTGCTAAAGCTGCTAAATATATGTGAGTACCAGCTGACAAGTATACAAATATATGTTTAAACTTATAAACAAATATAAATATAGAGACATACATATACATACTTCCTTTTTCTGGTGAAAGTAAGGCTTCAGGAGTGTCTGAGGACATGCTGATTAGTATTTTGCTGAGTAGACCAGACTGGCATTGAACTCAGGGAGATCCACCTGCTACTGCCTCTTGAGTTCTAAGGCATACAACACCACTCCTGGAAATTTAATTAGTGCTTTCATTACTGTTTAAACATTCATATCAAGTAATGGGTTTAATCATGACGTTTACATTCAGACTACTTTTTATCATCCTTGTCCCTCTCTTGCTCATCACTCACCCCCCACTAATAGCTATTTTCTGCATTTGTGTCTTAATAAAATATCATTGTATATATGTGCCACATTTTTTTACTCATTCATTGATGCTAGTCTAGGCTAGCTCCATTTCTTAAGTTACAAATGGTCTATCAATAAAATACAAATGTCAAGTGTTTTCTTTCTTTTTTTCTGTATTAAACTGAAATTGGGACCTTTGAATATACATTCAGGAGGTAGAGTAAATGGGTCATTTGGTAGTTCTATTTTCATATTGAGACATCTCCATACTAATTTCCATGGTGGCTACACTAGTTTATATTTCCTCAGTCAGTTTTTTTTTGGTTTGCTTGTTTGTTTGGCTGGTTGTGTTTGTTGTTGTTTGGGTTTTAGAGACTGTTTCTCTGTTTGACAGCTTTAATTGTCCAGGAACTAGCTCTGTAAACCAGGCTGGCCTGGATCTCACAGAGATAGATTGCCTTTGCCTCCTGAGTTCTGGGACTAAAGGTGTGCACCACCATTGCCTTTCATTTGTTTTATTTGTTTGTTTGTTTTGGATTTTGTTTGTTTTTTCAAGACAGGGTCTTACACTATAGCCCTGGTTTTCTCTTGGACTCACTATGTAGACCAGGCTGACATCAAGCTCAAAGAGATCCACCTGCCTCTGACTCTCAAGTGCTGGGATTAAAGGCATGAATCACTCTGCACAACTCTCATTTGTCTTTTTATTGATAGCCATTCTGACCAGGTAAAATGGGATCACAAAATAGTTTTAAATTGGATTTTTATGAATGCTAAGGATGTTGAACACTTTAAAAAATATTTACTGGCCATTTGTGTTTTGTCTTCAGTTGAATATATCATGTATTGATTGGAAGATATGAATTTTGAGTGTTTGATTTTTTTCATATCTTTATGAATTGTAGTTATAACCTCATGCCAAACATTGCATTCCCTCCCATTCTGTAGAGTGTATTCATTGCTGGTTGTTTTTACTATGCAGGATGTTTTAAACTTTACATAATAACATTTGTCAGCTACTGGGATTATTTCCTTTGCCATTAGACTCCTTTATTAAAAAAAAAATCTTGCTAAGCCTAGATCTTGAAATTTTTCACCTATATTTTCCCATAGTACTTTCAGTGTTTAGGATTTGAAATGAAGATCTTTGACTGAGTTTGAACTTATTTTTGAGAAGTGTGTAAGACATAAATCTAATTTAATTTCACACATGGATATAGTGTGTGAAATTATCATCATACCACCACTTATTGTAGAAGATTTCTTCTTTTCATTGTAACTTCCTAACGATTTCATGAAAATTTAGTGGTAGTTGAGTGGATTTATTTTGGTGCTCATTACTATTTTATTTGCTTACATTTTCTGCTATCTTTGTCACTGTGATTCTGTAATGTACTTTGAGAGCAAGTATTGATATTCATCCCATCACTTTTTTTTTTTTGCCTAGGTCCTACTCCTTTGGTTATTAAGGGTATATTGTTTCCCCATGTGAATTTTAGGATTATGTTTACTAATTTTGTTGAAAAGGTCACTACAATTATGATTAGGACTGTTTCGAAATTGTGGATAGCTTTTAGTAATATGGCTGACCCTACAGTATTAAGTCTGCCATCCCATCAACATGGAAAATCCTTGAGTATTCTAGTGTTGTCTTTTGTTTTTTTCCACATCTTAGTGTTTTCATATAGGAGCTTTCATTTCATGAGTTGGAAATTTGTGAGCTTATGGCATACTCATGATTTTCCTCATTTTTTGTGGTGATTATATATTTATGAGGTTAAATGTGTTCTCTTGTTTGTTTATTTATTTATTTACTCAATTTCATACAGTGTGTGCCCCTGTTGAGATCTCTTTGATTACATGGATAGTCCCTGCTTCTATTTAGAAAAAAAGCCTATTGCAATAGCAAGTATAATTCATGTTAACCTGCACTAGAAAACACTTGTGTACTTTCTTTGTCTCCCCAGTTACATTCAGCAATAGGACAAAAGGGTGCAAATTTGAAAAAAAAATTATATTCTTTAGAGTTAAGGACATTAATAATCAAGTGGTAAAATGAGGAAGGAATGGGAAAAAGAGCAAACTGGAAGTGAACAAGAGGGAATGGATGTGTTGTTGAGGTATAAAAATAGTAGATGAAACTATTATAGTATAAACTCAAAGGACTGGAATAAAAGCCTAAAGTGATGAGTTACCAGCTGAAACAAAACAACACAAAGCTAACCAACTGAAGTACAGCAATGTGAGTAAAAATAAGAAAAAATAAAATAAGAGATACTATAACCTCAGCCGCCCTCCCTGTTGAGATGATAGAATCGCCTCCTTCCAGTCTCTGCACCTGCCAGGGAAGACTTTTAAACTCAATAATTGAAACAAGTTGTCAGTATGCCCTCTTTCTGAGACCTAGTCTCAGGTCTCAGATCCTATCTTCAATACCCTGCCTGCTAGTTAAGACTTTTTGTGACTTAGGCTCTCAAGGGATGTGTAAGGCCCCCTACTTGTGTTTTACTGTGTAGCTAAATAGTCTTTTCCCAGACTCACATGAAGTTGATCAGCACAATGATACCATCCCCTATTGTTACTTGTCCAGGAATTATCAGGATTCCTTTTCTGACAACTCAGTCTAGGGTTTTTGTAGTGTTTTGAAAGAAAATGCCCCCCAAAGGGATTGGCAGTGTTGGGAGGTGTGGTCTTGTTGGAGTATATGTGGTCTTGATGAAGGAAGTGTGTCACTGTGGAGTTGGGTGTTGAGTTCTCTTATATGCTTAAGCTGTGCCCAGTCAGTCAATTCACCTGTGGATGAAGGTGTTGAACTCTCAGCTCCTTCTCCAGCACCATGGCTGCCTACAT